GGAGGTAATATAAATTAAATATAAGTAATATGGCTGCTGGAGTGGAATGATCGAGACCTTTATGCTGTGAGATATTAGACAAGAAACACAGGAGAGAGAGACAGAGAGAGAGAGAGAGAGAGAGGAGAGAGAGAGAGAGGAGAGAGAGAGAGGAGGGAGAGAGAGAAGATGATGACATAAGTCAGTGCCACAGTGCCAGATTGTAGCGAGAGAAATTGATGCCAAAATTATCAGCTGAAGACCGGAACTCAACAAAACCCGGTTAGGTCATTTTGACCAATCGAGGCTTGGCGTGAGTGCAGTGGGAGAGGAGGGGGGGGTGGTCGTTAAAAGTGCCATTATAGAGGTCAGGGTTGCCCTAAACCCATGGAATTAACAGATTTCATTTCAATGTCGACATAGTGTAATCTCCCCTTTCTAGGCCCAGTTTGGATTGTATGATTGGGTAGGGAGAGGGGGAGGAAGGGGTTGGGTAGCTTCGGGACCGAAGTGTGTGTGCGTGCGTGTGTATTTGTGTGCTTGTGTATGTGTGCGTGTGTGTGTGCATGTTTCTGTGGAAGCGAGTGTAATTCTATGCATGTGTGCGTGTGTGTGTGCGAACGCGTGCATATGTGTGCATATATGTGCGTGCATGTGGAAGTTTGTATGTGTGTGTGCGTGTGTGTGTGAAAAGAAGGGACGCTGCCCTGTGACGTCAGGTGAGGCCTAACCTTTACCAGCAGCTGGTCACGTGGTTAAAGCCGTGAGCAGCCACCACGAAGCTAACGGTGAGCAGACGAATGGGGGTCAGTATTACGTTGGGTGGGTCATTTGGGGGTCAGTCTTACGTTGGGTGGGTCATTTGGGGGGTCAGTCTTACGTTGGGTGGGTCATTGGGGGTCAGTCTTACGCTGGGTTGGTCATTTGGGGGTCAGTCTTACGCTGGGTGGGTCATTTGGTGGTCAGTCTTATGCTGGGTGGGTCATGTGGGGGGGGGGGGGTCAGTCTACGCTGGGTGGGTCATTTGGGGGGGGGGGGTCAGTCTTACGCTGGGTGGGTCATTTGGGGGGGGGGGTCAGTCTTACGCTGGGTGGGTCATTTGGGGGGGGGGGGGGTCAGTCTTACGCTGGGTGGGTCATGTGGGGGGGGTCAGTCTTACGCTGGGTGGGTCATTTGGGGGGGGGGGGGTCAGTCTTACGCTGGTGGGTCATGTGGGGGGGGGGGGTCAGTCTTACGCTGGGTGGTCATTTGGGGGGGGTCAGTCTTACGCTGGGTGGGTCATTTGGGGGGGGGGGGTCAGTCTTACGCTGGGTGGGTCATGTGGGGGGGGGGTCAGTCTTACGCTGGGTGGGTCATTTGGGGGGGGGTCAGTCTTACGCTGGGTGGGTCATGTAGGGGGGGGGGGTCAGTCTTACGCTGGGTGGGTCATTTGGGGGGGGGTCAGTCTTACGCTGGGTGGGTCATTGGTGGTCAGTCTTATGCTGGGTGGGTCATGTGGGGGGGGGGGGGTCAGTCTTACGCTGGGTGGGTCATTTGGGGGGGGGGGGGGGTCAGTCTTACGCTGGGTGGGTCATTGGGGGGGGGGGGTCAGTCTTACGCTGGGTGGGTCATGTGGGGGGGTCAGTCTTAAGCTGGGTGGGTCATTTGGGGGGGGGGGGGGGTCAGTCTTACGCTGGGTGGGTCATTTGGGGTCACTCCTGCAGGGCGCGTTTAGTGTTGAGGGGGTTAGTATTGTGTATTTATGGGGGTCAGTCTTGTGTGTGATGTGGGGGTCAGTCTTGTGTGATGTTGGGGTCAGTCTTGTGTGTGATGTGGGGGGGGGGCAGTCTTGTGTCAATGACTCCCCACAAATATTGATCCACTGAGCCGGTGCCGGCGGTGTTTGAACTCGGATCTCTTTGTGACAGGCCGGGACATCGCCTAAGCGGCCACAGGAAGTGCAGATCCTTCAATTAAAACAACGATGTCATTAGGGGGAAAATATAACACGGGTTGTGAGGGCGTCCATGTGAGATCAGCCACCAAGGGGGGTGGTGGGAGGGTGGGGGGGAGGGAATCTTGGGAGAGAGAGGGATCTTGTGAGAGTGAGGGGGATCTTGTGATAGTGAGGGGGGATCTTGGGAGAGTGAGGGGGATCTTGGGAGAGTGAGAGGGATCTTGGGAGAGTGAGAGGGGATCTTGAGAGAGTGAGAGGAGTCTTGGGAGAGTGAGGGGGATCTTGTGAGAGTGAGAGGGATCTTGGGAGAGTGAGAGGGATCTTGGGAGAGTGAGGGGGATCTTGGGAGAGTGAGGGGGATCTTGTGAGAGTGAGGGGGGATCTTGGGAGAGTGAGGGGGATCTTGGGAGAGTGAGGGGGATCTTGGGAGAGTGAGAGGGATCTTGGGAGAGTGAGAGGGATCTTGAGAGAGTGAGAGGAATCTTGGGAGAGTGAGGGGGATCTTGTGAGAGTGAGAGGGATCTTGGGAGAGTGAGAGGGATCTTGGGAGAGTGAGGGGGATCTTGGGAGGGTGAGAGGGATCTTGGGAGGGTGAGAGGGATCTTGGGAGAGTGAGAGAGATCTTGGGAAGGAGGGAGAGACGAGGATTTCAGGGAGGGAAGAATTATAAGAGAATATGGAGGGAGAAGGATCTGGAGATAGGGGAGGGTGTGGAGTATTGGGAGACGGGAGAGAGGAGACAAGGAATCCTGTGAGAGGGGAGTATGGAGTCTGGAGCGAGATATGGAGAGAGGGAGTCCTAGGAAAATCGAAGGAGGGAGGGAAATACTGAGAGGGACAGGAAGGGGAATTATGGGAGAGATAAGGAAGATCAATGGAAATGTGGTATCCTGGGAGAGAAAGGAAGGGGGGGGGGGCACTGGACAAAAAAAGAAAGTTGAGGTTTAAAAATTCCTGTCAAACCGTTGCGATGAACTCTCATACCAAGTTAGCGGGTGTTAATCTAATCCGCCCCCCCCCCCCGCCTCCCCTTCCCCCACCCCTCAACGTACTGACAGCTCCATTGATTGCGATCAAAGACAGTTCTTTGAGATGCACAGTTTTGGTTTCAAGTGACCCGGGGGAGGGGAGGGTGGGGGGGGGGGGGGGGAGGGGGTGGAGGACACACGGCTATAATTAGGTCATCACAGCCGTGTAACGACACGGAGTAGGTCACACGTTACACCATCAAACAGGTCATGAGTACCTATAACAGTTTAGGTCATATGTAGCACTACAAGGTTAAGGTAATAGATTTTCTGACCTAGGTCATACATGACACTTAGGTCAAGGTCATATGTAACGGGCTACAAGATCAACTTCATATCAGACCTAGGTCATAGGAACACACTTAGTTCAAGGTCAGATCGAGGCAATAGGATTCGTAATTTGGCTTAGGTCAAAGGTCGTAGGTCACGATCTGACCAAGGTCATTTGCACATTGACGTAAATAACTTGCCCATACGGCACCACAAGGACGTGACCTAAATGTTTTGCTCTGTTAAGGTCAGGGTTAGACTAGTCAAGGCTAGAACAAAGGTCAAGGTTACTGTAAGTATTAGAACAGAGCTGTGATTTGTGCTTAGAGTTAGGATCAACATAATTATGTAAAATGGTCAGGATCATGGCAAAGGTTTACAATGATAGTAAAAGACTTCGAATGGCTTCTTACTGCATATCTTTGTAAGTACCGCCAACATGATGTATTGCATGAACCAGTGCTGAATTGGAAATGTTGAGAGTAGGAAAACTGTAGCGCTACCCCCCCCCCCCCCCCCCTCCAGTTTGAACCTCAATGACCTCCCTACCATCTGTAAAAACAACGCCACTACCTTCACCCCCCCCCTCCCCCAGAAAACCTCCCCGACCTAGGAGAGATTTAACAAGCATGTTCAACTGCCCCCAACACACGTCACATCGGTAAAGGTCGGCCCTCGAGGAATAAATTATTCATCACGGACATGCACGAAGGGAATTCGGCTTTTCCCGTTGCGTGCTCCGGGCGTTGTCGTTTCTGAATTTTAATTTTAGTAGTCTCGACCAAAGTGCTTTGTGTCGGAGACTGGGATGCTTTTGGTAACAAACTAATGTTATGCTTCTAGTTATAAACTAATGTCATGCTTCTAGTTATAAACTAATGGCATGCTTCTAGTTATAAACTAATGTTATGCTTCTAGTTATAAACTAATGTTATGTTTCTAATTATAAACTAATGCCATGCGTCTTATAATAAACTAATGTCATGCTTTTGGTAACAAACTAATGTCATGCTTCTAGTTATAAACTAATGTTATGCTTCTAATTATAAACTAATGCCATGCGTCTTATAATAAACTAATGTCATGCTTTTGGTAACAAACTAATGTCATGCTTCTAGTTATAAACTAATGTTATGCTTCTAGTTATAAACTAATGTTATGCTTCTAGTTATAAACTAATGTCATGCTTCTAGTATCAAACTAATGTCATGTTCCCAGTTACAAACTAATGTCATGCTTTTGGTAACAAGTTAATGGCATGCTTCCAGTAACTAATGTCATGCGTCTAATAATAAACTAATGTCATGTTCCCAGTTACAAACTAATGTCATGTTCCCAGTTACAAACTAATGTCATGTTCCCAGTTACAAACTAATGTCATGCTTCTAGTTACAAACTAATGTCATGTTCCCAGTTACAAACTAATGTCATGCTTCTAGTTACAAACTAATGTCATGTTCCCAGTTACAAACTAATGTCATGCTTCTAGTTACAAACTAATGTCATGTTCCCAGTTACAAACTAATGTCATGCTTCTAGTTACAAACTAATGTCATGTTCCCAGTAACAAACTTGTGTCGTTACGCTTTTTGAAAAACTCGCTCACTAAGCGACAAACAAAACAAATAAGCGATTAAGTGACTAGTGACAGATGACACCTAGTTTTGAAAAGCCTTTGTACATTATTTAAATGTGACACGGTACAGTATTTTAATGCAGCAAGGTACAGTATTTTAATGCACGAAGGTACAGTATTTTAATGCAGCAAGGTACAGTATTTTAATGCAGCAAGGTACAGTATTTTAATGCACGAAGGTACAGTATTTTAATGCAGCAAGGTACAGTATTTTAATGCACGAAGGTAAAGTATTTTAATGCACCTTCAGCCTCGCTAAGAAGAGTTGCACTACCTTAAGAGGCTTTTATTGCCGATGATGACATCCATCTTTCTAGTAAGAGGCTAGAGGCTACTAGAGGCGACTTAAAAACGTCTTGAAGTCGTGTGTTTCTCATCTCAAAACTAATGGAGCATCAAACACGCTAAGTACAACCTAATCATATTTGAAGTTCAACTCAGTGAAAGCTTAAGTCAACAGGCGCTAAGTCTATCAATCATCTCCTCCCATCTGTGACTGGTAGGTACCCCCCCCCCCTCCACCCGACCCCCACCTCTGATCGTTGGGTCAGATAACACAACCACCAGAGGCCGCCAGTTGATTGTGTCACGTGACCGGCTCGACCAATCAAAGCTCGCAGATTTACGGGCCCCCATCACGGCCAGGCTACACACACACACACGCAGCATCTGGGGGTGGGGCAGGGGGGGGGGGACATGCTGATCCATGCAGCATGGGGGTAGGGAGGGGGGTTGTAAATGTCAAGTAGAAGAGGGAGGGAAGAGAGGGAGGGGGGTCGGGACAATGTGTTTGCAGTTGGAATTCATGTCAGGCAACAGTCAACATGGCATCAGAACTTTCTGGAATTGTATTTTTATTTCGGAGTAAAAGTTAATTGGGGGAGGGGGTGCTGGGGTGGGTGCTTGGGACGAGGGGGGGGGGGGGTGTAAAAGCATTATTTAAAAAAAACGGACTTTGATTACTGTGGGTCATATTGACAACTAGTAATGTTGCCAAATGTTGATGATGTAATTAATGTTGTTTACACTGTTAATGACAATGGTGTTGATAAAGTTAACTTTCTTAATATTGATACAATTAGTAATGTTAACACAACCTTGTAAATGTAGGTAATGTTGTACTTAACGTTGTTACAGATTATAATCTAGCTAATGTAGATTCTATCTAATATTACTAATTTGACAAAGCTGATGTTAACAAAGTTGACAATGTTGCTAATGTACGTAATCTTGACAAAACTGATATTGTTAACACAGCTAATAATATAAACAAAGATAATAATGTTACTATTTATGAATTTTATTCCCAGATCAAGTTGACATTTACAAGTGCTGAATTTTTTTTTAAACGGAAGAAGAACGGGACGGGGGAGGGTAGGGGAAGAGGAGAGAGAGAATTCTCCTGTCCAATGTTATCAGGGGAAGGTAATCGATGTTCTTTTAAGCATGTAAGTGTTTACTTCCCCTCTTCCCTGGGCTGAGCAGGAGACGAGTTTACGTGAAGACATCTTGACTACAGTGGCGCCATCTCAGCATTGTCCCAGCACTTCCGGTGATGCCAACCAAGATGGACTTGATTATTCCAGCCAATCGATGAAATATTTGAATCATTAATTTCCTATTATCTCCGTGTGATAAAGGTTTTTTTTTTTTTGGCGTGGAACAATGAAACTTCATGCAGATAGATACACTGGTAGTTAGTCATGGTGTTGGTGGTTGGGTGGGTGGGTGGGGGGGGGGGGGTTATTGGGTGGGTATGGGTGGGGGGTTATTGGGTGGGTATAGGGGGTTGTTGGGTGGGTATGGGTGGGGGTTATTGGGTGAGTATGGGTGGGGGGTTATTGGGTTGTTATTGGGAGGGTATAGGTGGGTGTATTTCGAAGTATAGAAGGTTATTGGGAGTGTAGAGGTGGTGATTGGTAGGGCATATCAGGCTGCTGGGTAAAAACTACCGCCTTGTGATCCTTTCGACCCATGACGCTTAAGGCCTCTCAATCTAACATCCCCTCCCCCCGTGGACACTGGCTCTCCTATCTTGATGTATCGCCAACACTGACCCCTGCGCCTCTTGCCCTCTTTCATCGCACCACTACTGCATACACCCCCTACCCCTTTCATCACCCCACTACTGCATACACCCCCATATCTCTTTCATCACCCCACTACTGCATACACCCCCATATCTCTTTCATCACCCCACTACTGCATACACCCCCATATCTCTTTCATCACCACACTACTGCATACACCCCCATATCTCTTTCATCACCCCACTACTGCATACACCCCCATATCTCTTTCATCACCCCACTACTGCATACACCCCCATATCTCTTTCATCACCCCACTACTGCATACACCCCCATATCTCTTTCATCACCACACTACTGCATACACCCCCATATCTCTTTCACCCCTTCCTCTCTCCCGATCTCCCCCCACCACCCGTGTGTATTACGCAATTGTTAAACCTCTACCTTAAAAAAATTCTGAATTCCCAAATACAGTGTGAAGTGTTGTAAGATGAGTACTGATGGCAGCAGCAGATACAAACTAAATACAGCTGGGATTTCATGTTCATGTTAGGTGGGATTTCTGGACATTGGTGGGATTTATTTCTGGACATTGGTGGGATTTCTGGACATTGGTGGGATTTATTTCTGGACATTGGTGGGATTTATTTCTGGTCATTAGTGGGATTTATTTCTGGACTGGGGGTCCAATGAACTGACTCCAGATTCCAATCAACAATTTTCCT